AAATTCTTGCCCAAATTTTATAAACTCAAAAAATATGCTCATGTACAAAATCTAATTTAGCTTTTTGGTTCTTCTTGCTATTTAGAAATTTGATGGCAACAGAATTTGTATGAAGACTTTTCATATAAACAATGCAAATGTCTGCTGAGAAACTTTCATGTTAAATTCTTTTGTTACCTAACAGACAATATCTGCTGCTTTGTCAGAGTGGTCTACTATGGAAAGTCTTTTATTCATTTGATTACACTGAAGAGTCATGTTATATGTTCAGCCTTTTGCTTTAGATGACTTAAAGAAATCAGTAACATCATAATTCCTTAATATTGTAGCAGTCACACAATTCAATCTATTAAATTTAGCAATAGCAGAAATCACCAATTGTTGAGTTTTTAGTGTGACAACCTGACACTTTTGTAAGGTATATTTCTTTAGCTTGCAATGTTGCCTTATTTTGTTAGGAACTTTTTTTTTTTTTTTTTTTTTAAGTTATTGACCTAAATATAAATGTCAATATTTTCTAATTTTTGATGCTGCTTTTCTGTAAGAAAGAGATTTTTCCTCTATAAATTTTTTTTTATCCTTTTTTTTTTTTCATGCAAATTTATCAGAATTTTAAGAATATTTATTGCAGTCTATATTTTGAGCAAATCTACAGAATTGGAAATTTTTGATTTTTAAATTTTTTGTTGTTTAATATTGGATGCTAATATTGTCTGATGATTACTCAAGTTGACTTTGCAGTGTCGAGTTTTATGTTCACTGTTTATATCTACAAATACTATCGTTCTGAACACACAATTCCAATATAATAAATTGGAAACAATTATATATATATATATATTTGGTTGGATTGATGCGAGTTTGTGACCCTGGGTTTCACGCTTTTGCGATCGTCAGACAAACTGATTATTTTTTTTTAAAATTTGGGTTTATGTAGATTGCGTGTATTGGTGTTATTATGGCAGTGGGGGGAATCGTCATCGTGTTAACGCAAACATAGATGCATGTCCGTACATCAGATGAGGTATGCAGACACACATACACACTTGCTTGTCCATCGGGACTCATACATATATAAACATATGTGGACAATTTCGGATTTGACATATGTATGTATATGGGTGGTGTTGTGTCTATACATACGCATTTGTATGTTGAAATTCAAAGATTGGAAGTGTAGCATGAATGTCTCGTGAATGTATACATGTCAACAATCAGAGCATTTTTCTATTTTTTCACTGAATAATATTTCCTTGCATGTATGTATATACGTGTGGTGGGGTCTGTGTAAAATTATGATAGGTAAAAATTACTATTATTTAAAAAAAAAAAAAAAAGGGTTTATTATTATTTTAAAGCTGGTTATTTGCTTGTTTTTGATGACTGTGTATATGTAACTGGTAGAAATTTTGGTTTGTAATCCTTATTGGTTATTTTTTATGGTGGTATTTAATATGCTGGGGGAGGGGGTGGTTTACATTAATAATTATAGCGGGTCTATATGATAATAGAAGATGTGATGTGATAGTAATTTTGTAAGGGATTGGAGACAATGATAATATAAGTAGCTAATAGTTATTGTAAATTGGTAGAAGTGATTAGTAATGGTGGTGGGAGAATGATAAAAACAATAAATGTAATTATTGTGGTGGTAGCTCGAACTAAAAAGTGATTGTTGGTGTTTTATTTTATTTTATTTTGTTATATATATTAATTTATTTTGGTATAAATCCTGATAATAGGTATTCTTTATAAAATTATGATAGTTGAAAATTGCTATAATTTTTATTTTTAATTTAAAAAAAAAAAAAAAAAAAAAATTTTAGTTATTATTTTAAAGCTGTTTATTTGCTTGCTTTTTATTTTTTTGATGACTGTATATGTGACTGGTAGAAATTTCAGTTTGTAATCCTTATTGGTTATTTTTATGGTGGTATTAAATATGCTGGGGAGGGGGTAGTTTACGTTAATAATTATGACGGGTTTATATGATAATAGTAGATGTGACGTAAATTGGTAGTAGTGATTAGTAATAGTGATGGGAGAATAATAAAAAACAAGAAATGTAATTATTGTGGTGCTAGCTTGAACTAAAGAGTGATTGTTGGGGTTTTATTTTATTTTATATATATATTTATTTATTAATTTACTTTGGTATAAATCCTGGTAATAGGTATTTATTTTTTATTTAAAAAAATAATCAGTTTGTCTGACAATTGCAAAAGCATGAAACCCAGGGTCACAAACTCACATCAATCCAACCAAATATGTTAGCTCTATCTTTGATATTGAGCGCTTTCTAATAAGTACCGTGCATATAATATATATATATATATATGCACTTGTGTGGGGGTGTAGAGAGAGAGAGAGAGAGACAGATTTCCAAAACATCAGTCACAAAGACTGAATATCAGAATGCATCCAGTTTTTCTCTCTAAATGCTTTGATAGAATGGGGTTAAAACAAGAAGCATTAGTTTACTTTAAATTGGGGTCAGCAAGCCCTGGCCCTTGAGCCACAACTAACCTGCAATGTATTTTTGTCTAAGCTGCCAATTTAACAACTGAACATGAATTATCTAATTAATTCATGGAGCAAGTGGCAGAAAAAATATCAGTTGGTGTTAATTGACTTACAATGCAACAAATTTTTTAAATCAAAATTTCATTCTGAATCTACTACTGACTTCTACAAGAAATATTTTTTGCCAAGTGGAAAATATCAAAACCTATTAAATAATGTGAAAATGATTGTATTATTATTTGGAAGTACATATGCTTGTGAATCTACTAAAAGTCATTTAAGTACAAGGTTAGATGATGACCACCTAGATGATGTTTTGCTCCTGCCATCAACAAATATTCCCCTACTGATGTGGAGAAGTTATCAAACAATAAGCAGACAACAAGTGTCTCATTAAATAATTGGTCATTTCTAAATGTATTTCATTTGTAGTAATGCATTTTTTGTTGATTATGTTAGTTGTTATCCTGTTATCCTTGCAATAAAATAAGGAATCTTGTTTAAATAATATGATATTAATTTTGTTTCTTTTTTAAACCTCCAGAGCGAGTCAGCCTTCTGGATGGAACTGTCTGAGGTAGAGGCAATTTATTATAGTGCATTTGATATAATGACCCTCCTCTGAGACACTGGATAGCTTTCTGGCCCACTCTCCCCAAAAGGTTGTTGACCCCAGCTTTAAATCTTCAAATTTTCTCTTAAATTGTTTGTAAACCAAATTATTCTAATCATAATTTTTTCTATAAAATATATCTGTGCCTGCTTTGATGAAGAAGTAAAGCACGTTTTTAAATTGAACTCATTGTGTTGCTGATAATGTTACCAGATTCCAGCCGATCCATTCTACAGCCTTCTTCTGGAGTATTTTCTCCCTGAGTAATTAAATGGGTATGGCATGTATGGTATCATCTGTGTTTTGTATTGCTAGAATTAGCTGATATATTAGGTAACATTTTCTCTTCTTGTTTTTTTTTATGACTAATAAACCTGGATATGGCTGAAGAATGTATCTGTTAAAATATGGTAACACCAACAAAGAATGAGCTGAATTGTCCATATAAATTTTGAATGTTAATAACTCTAAGTTACAAACAATATCTTTCTTTATTAGTTTTATCAAAGAATTTATTCCATTACGATGTTTGTATGTATGTCTGATGCACATTTGTTGCTCAGATCAGAGCATAGTATCCATCTAATATCTTGCCCTTTTGAGTTTTATGAATAAGAAATCTACATAGTAATATTAAACAGAATATATTGAGAAAAATAAAGGAGTAGAGAAGGTACAAGGTAATAAAGATAAGAAAAATGAACAAAAGAAAAACAAAAAAAATCAAAACAGGAGGAAGAGAAAGTGAAAAGTTTCCTGGTTGGATATCAAGAGACAAAATATGCTAAGGACTGAAAGGAAGGTAAAGATATAAATATATTAAAAATTCTTTTTGGATGCAGATAGAGTAGATACAATAGGAAATATTTTTTGCATTTCTTATTTGCATATAAAAATAATATATGTTTTTATAACATATATAGTTAAATACATTGTCAAACAGCAAAGATCAAAAAGTATAAGAGAAAGAAGAGATACAGGCAAAGAGTGAGAGAAAAACAAAGACATGAGATAATAAATGATCTGTTGCCAATTCACATAAATATACAGTTGCTTGATATTATAATTCCTTTTCAAGGTCAGCTATGGGGAGAACAGCATTTTGGCTGTCAACAGGAGTTTCCAGGATTTTATATCAAAATATCAGAGCCTGCCAGATATTTTCAATATATCTACTAGTGTCTCTGTTCAGTACTTGTGAATAAGTAAAAGTCCGTTTTTTTTTTTCAAAGAAAGATAGGCCTTCTCTATTTAGAGAAGGATTGACACACAATAACCTCTTCTTAAACTTAATAAATATCCATTTCAAAAAATATTCAAGTACTCTTGAACAGCTCTTCTGAAAACATTCTTTTTATTTTTAAATTCCATGCTTCAAATTATTTTATAAAAATGGAATTTAACAATAAATGGAATCCTAACAGTGGTTACCAGAAAAACTAAACTACATTTCTATTAATATTTAATCAACAAGATTGAATTTTAATGTAAAATTCCTTTTATTTTCAAATGCAAATAAATCCATATATCACATTACTTTTCATCTGTTTTATGAATATTGAGTAAAAATTGTAAGTAAAATTTTCTACTTGTATAATACTTTCAAAATCCTTTTGAGATACACCATTGACTGCAATTCTTTTTTACAAACTAATGAATTTGTTTAATACATCAAAATAATGATTAACTTTCACTTACTAAATAAGTGTGCACATGTGTGCATGGAATAATCACTATCACATATATTAAAAATTTCTGACATTGTAGCAGACCAGCTTCATATATTGATAATTAAAATGCGTTATCAAACCTCAAATAGATTTCATATAGAGACTCTTTAGAAATAGAGATAACAATAGTAATCTTAAGCCTTATCAGTTTCAATATTGTATTTGGCTTTCCATTCTTTTTCTTTCTGTTCCATCAAATGTGCTTTGCGGATATTTCTCTTCTGTTCATCTTTTATTGCACTTTTGCGTTTCATCACATTTCCTGCGCGATTACCACCCTTCATTTTATTCTTCAGTTTGAAATTCGTCTTAGAAGTAACCTAATTAAAAGAAAGAAAAACAAAAATTAGTCAAAATATAGTTGCATGCATTTTATCTCTTGTATTCTTACAGATTTTCATTTCAGTATTAATTCTTTCACTGACATTGATTTAGACACAAAATTTTCTTTAAAAGGTAAAATAAGACCACATTTTCTTTAACTCATTTTCTAAGAATAACCTTTCTGGATCCTAATTATGCAAATTAACAAGCCAGACCTTCAAATATTTCAGGATGAATTTCAATTAGAAATCTGGTTATCAGATAACACAAAGATGATGTGGTAACAATTCAATAATTATGGTCCACTTATCATAAGCTATTTCTATTAAATACTCCAAATTGACAGGAAAAAAATAAAAGTGAATAAAAGGTTTTACTCAAATTTTAGTAAATTAGAAATCAGTTTAGAGATCTCATTCCTGTAGAATGGAATGACCGAAACACAAAAAAATACTAAATGTAAATAAAATAATTTCATTACATTTTAATCAGATTAAATCAGGAAATTAGATTTGTACCTGTAGAAGCAGTAAATAGGAACAAAAATTGATTAAACTTAAAAAAGTTCAGATGATTGGAAGATGATAGAACTTGAGTCTGTAACTTTAAAAATGTTTTATCTTTCACTGTCTAAAGATTTTCAAATGAGATTTCACAATTTCAGTTTGTTCTTATTTTTAAAATTGTTCTCAGCATTTCATTGACAGCCTAAATGTCTGATTTAAAAAAAAAAAAAGAAAAATTAAAAAAATAAATAAAAAGGTAAATCCTCTTTGTTGTGCTAACATTAAATATATATTTTTTTCCTCTTTTGATGATATAACACCAGTTATCTTCAAAATCCTACAAAATATTTTACCATATTTTTTTTTTTTTTTTTTAACTTTCTTTAATCTTGCATAAACAGTTTGATTTTTGAAAGAAGTCATAAAAACATGAATGGAATAAATATATTCAGTGGTTTAATTGGAAATAATTTTTGTAAAAACATCCTTTTTCTTTCAGTTTTTTTGTTGTGCAGATGAACACACCTCTCCAGAATATGATTTGGATAGCATATATACTGACATTGAGAATTGTCAGCAGAGCTAGTCGGGAGCAAGCCTTATATCTTTACCACAGAATTAAGTAAGACAATGTTGACTCCAAGCGACATTATATTTCATGATTTTATTATCTTCATTCAATGGAATGAAGGCATAACAGTAGCGACAAGGATTTGAATTCACACGAAAAAGAAAAAAAAACAAAAAAACTTTTTCTTCCTAGTTAATGACGACTTGTACAAACATAATACACTATGGAAGAATGGAAGATAATTATTCAGCAAGAATTTCAGAAGACATTATTGCAACAAAACATTACATTCCTATCATACATCAGAAGGTACAAGGCCATTTTTCAGAAAAGAATTTCAAGGATGGTCAAATGAAAAGAAAGTAAGTCTTCTGAAATTTGTGCCCTGCTGAACATGAAAAAAATCTCAATTTCATTTTGCCAAATACTCTAGAAAATGTGTCATTTAACAAAACAGTATTGATATTATCAAAAATTTTTGGTGAAAAGAATTCACTTTGGAGGAGCATGAACCTCACTAAGGATGAAGTTGAAGATCTTGTCACATATGCCAGTAAAGTCAACCATGAATGTGAGAAATTTAAACTGGATGAGGTATCCTCAGACAAATTTAAGTGTCTAATCTTCAGTAAAGATCTAACATCAAGCAACAATGCAGAAATATGCTCTCAAATCCTTACAAAACCAGAACAGGATTCAAAGTTAATGATACAGACTGTTGCAGAAGAGTGCTAAAAGAAATTTAAAGCACGATACAGCAAAAATTGAAGAAAAATGGCATGTCAGAAATACAAGTTCGAAAAAAAACAATAGTACCAAAGGAAAAAATCTGAAATAAAAATACTGCCAAACTTAACCTATGTGATGGCTGTGATATGCTTCATTTCAGAAAGGACTGTTCATTTAAAACCAAAATATTAAATTGTAGTACAAAAAAAAGGTCAAAAATGAAGTTACTGAAAGTTGAAAAACAAAAGAAATACAAAAATTAACTTGCTGAAAGTAGTGCTGCCAACTAAAAAACTGGAAAGTTCAAATAACAGAAAATTTGTGACAGTAAAAATGAATAATGCTACAGTGAGAGTTCAAGTGGACACTGGTAGTGATATTACAATTATTGATGAACAAACTTGGAACAGAATTGGCAAGCTTAACTTGGAAAAAAACTGACAAAGTTGCAAGAGGAATATTGGGCAAGAAATTAATTTTTCTTGAGAAAATTACATGTAACATTGCTCTTGCAAGTAAAACAAAACAGGTTTATGTATTAAAAAATTCCAACACTAATTTACTAGGCCTTAATTGGGTAGAATTATTTGAACTATGGAATTGGTTAATTCAATCTGTGGAAAAATTAATTGTTCTCCAGAAAAAAAAGATTACTAAGAAACACTTAGTAAACTATAAAATAAATTCATGAATATTTTCTCAGGAGTTGGGAAAATGTCCAAAGTCAAAGGCATTTTTTTAAATTAAAAGAAAATGTGATACCAGTTTTTAAGCCTAAAAGAAAGATACCCTTTGCTGCGTTGGAGTTTATTAACACTGAACTTGATAGGTTAGAAAAGCAGAGTTAATGAAAAAAAAGTAAATTATTCAGAATGGGCTACACTGGTGGTTTATATTAGGAAGAAAAATAATGTTTATGTACAGATATTTTTGAACGGGTTGAATGACTGCCTCATACCATATGTATATCCCCTACCAACTCCAGAGGATATATTTACCAAATAAATTGATAGTAATTTTTTTCAAAAAATTGACCTTGTCTTATCAACAAATCAAAGTGGATAAGTAATACCATAAGTATTTGACTATTAATGCACATAAAAGACTCTACCAATTTAGAAGATTACTCTTCAGTGTAAAAGTAGATGCAGGTATTTTCCAGCAAATAATTGATACAATCTTGGCTGGAGTAGACAGTGTTGTCACTTACATAGATGACATACTTATTAAGAGCACTATGAAAATACATAAATATGTTTTGTTTTACTTGCAAGAGCAACATTACATGTAATTTTCACAAGAAAAATTAATTTCTTGCCCAATATTCCTCTTGCAACTTTGTCAGTTTTTTCCATGTTAGGCTTGCCAATTAGGGTTACTGATTCAGCAAGTATTTCAGAGACTAGATGATTACGGTTTCAAAATCAGTGAACAGAAATGTCAATTCTTTATGGATAATATTAATATTCAGGTCAGATAATCGATGAAAAAGAAGAATACCAGGTCCTGCTAGAGCAAGTGCCATTATAGACATGCCTCCCAACAAATTATTATAATATTTATATGCCAGATATGTACAAATTGCAAGTACTTCTGAATAATTTACTTAAGAAGGGTACTAAATGGAATTAAAAAAAACTACTAACTTCAGAGTTATTGCTGACACATTACAACCTACACTGACAGATAATAGTAGCATCAGACACAAGGGAATACAGCATATGAGCGGTAATAAGCCATACATTTGAAGACAGTACAGTGAATGCAGTCTCCCACACTTCAAGAAGCTTGACAAACATGGAAAAATGCTACAGGCAAATTGAAAAGGAAGCACTTGCTATAATTTTTGCTGTAAAGAAATTTCACAGGATGATATTAGGAAGAAAATTCATACTGCAAACAGATCATCGTCCATTATTAAGTATATTTGGTTCTAAAAAGGGGGATTCTCATGCAAACAGTGTTGGGCTATGATTTTATTGAACTATGATTTCAAAATGGAATTTCTATCATCAAAAAAATTGGGACACGCAGATGACTTGTTCAGATTGATATCAAAATGTAAAGATTTTGAAGATACTGTGATTGCTTTGCTGGAATCTGAAAGTGAAATTAAAAGCCTTGTGTGCAACACTATTAAAGAATCGCTGGTCATGATAGACAATATCAAAATTCATTCTAAAAAGTATATGTTTATTCAAAATCTATGAATGATGTTAAGTCATAAAACTAAAATCACTAGTAACAATAATACAGCATTATCTGTTTGTGATGGAGTACTTTTGTACACATTAATAGTAGTAATTCAGTTATCACTACAAAAAAGGATTTTGAAACAATTCCACGTATAACATCCGGGAATAGTGAAGCCCCTGATGAGAAGCTACATTTATTGGGCAAAGATATTCAAAATAGAGTTAGAAAATATAATGGTTGTGATTCAGCAGCAAAATCACCATCTTTGAATTATCAGACATTACCAAGTACTGATAAACCAATGGGCAAGACTAGATGGAATTTGGTGAACCACTAAACACTGCATGCTATTTAATCATGACTGACAGTTTCAAAAAATGAACGGAGATATTAAAGTGTAAACAATGTTCTACTGCAATAATGATTAAAGTCTTATGCAAACTTTTGCATGGTTTGGATTACCTGACAGTGTGGTATCTGATAATAGAACTCAATTTACTTCTAGTAAATTTAAAAATTTCTGAAAAAACTATGTGGTCGATCATTTGACAGTGCCAATTTATCATCCAAGGTTGAATGTTCAAAGCTGAGTGGTTTGTTGACACCATCAAAAGGCCATTAAGAAAAGCTAAAGGCTTGGAAGCTGAAGAAAAGGCACTACAAGAATTTTTGAATGTATATCAAATGACGTTAAATGCAAACATCACCACAAAAATGTTACCTACAGAGCTCATGTTTGCTAGGAAAGTTCATATTGATAAATTACTGCCGGGGAATAAAAAGAAAATTTGACAATTTGAAACTACCAGATCATTTAAGATCAGCGATAAAGTCTTCTTTAAAAGTTTTAAGGCTGGAATGAAAATTGGCAGGAAGGAAAAATTATTCAACAGCTTGGTAGTATGATGTGCATTGTTGAAAGTGGACGATTTCAACATAGAAGACATAAATCAATTGTGGCCCAGATATGCACAGAATAAACAACCAGTTCAAT